AAGCACGAAGCTTAATCAACTGAGCTTCCAACACACAAGGAAGTAACTAGATACAAGGCATTGAGATTGTATCAACCTGCTTCTCAAGCTTTTTCTGTCTCTGATGGTAAGTTTTACCCTATGGGTTCACTTGGAGACCATAAACTAGCTGCTAGCAAGAAAAACCGAGAACACGAAGCTCTGGGGAGACCCATAAAGTATCTCATGATTTAAAAAATGTCCCATAGGCTGGGGATAACTGACAGCTCCTATTGCAATAATGAATACATGATCACTTTTCTTTTGCCGACACTGTCTTCAAAACTTTCATACCCGACTCAACCGAGTCTTCAACTGGCTATTTTTCTCCTTGAGGATTTCTGACTATAGGCCATTGCTTGCGTATCCCCGATAAACAACCCCATATTTTTTATCTCATCCAATTCCCCACAAAGTTGTTTCATAACTTGAATCTGATCATGAAGCGGCAAGAAGTCAAGATTGGAAGCTCTGAAAAGAAAATATAGGGCCTGAATAAGGATTCCCCATTCTGAGTACCTTATGAGTACCTTCCATGGATGCTCGAAGATGCATGAAGATGCATGAGGTGAGTGAGAGAATTCCAGATTTGGACACCACAGTCTCCGAATTGATCTCGTCTTGGACCTTGTCTCTGGATGACATACCATCTTCAATCGAATGATCAATTGCCCCAGAATAATATGCGTGGAGGATTCTTTCAGGAGAACAAATGAATGCTTTACCAAGAAAATCCATATAAACTTCATCGTCAGGCATATTGCGTCACAGAAAAAATACAGTCTGTCTTCTATCAGAACAAAAGAGACATCCACCTGGTGAAAAAGAGTGTGGAGGTTGGCCAAAGAGGAATTGGACCTTTGGAAGAGACGCCAAACAGGTGTTGGGCTTTATATTTCAACCCCTTTGTAGTCTTCAATATCAAAGCCAGGTACCCCCAGAATAGGGGATGTATCTAGCATACATATCGTAATCAGAAGAGATGTTTGTGAGAGGAAGACCTCAAAGATCAGAGATAGGAAGAGCTGGGAATAATAGGATGTAATGCATTAGGCTCGCATCAACATGCTCATCAGGATTCTTGTTTCTTGGCTTAAAAGCTTTGCCCCATGAATTTACTTAGGGAATGAATATTGGCTCTTGTTGAACAATTTAGGGAACATAAAGTTATGGGGGATACCCCTGAATGAATAGTCGGATACCCTAGTGTGACAACCACATTTGACGTTGGTCAATAAGAACGAAGCACTGATATAAGATCCCACAGTAAATGGGAACCATCTCCTGATAAGATGTTCTAAGAACTTGAGATTATGTAGCACTCCATGGTTGAAAGCAATTTCCAAAAAGATGAGGAGAAGAGAGAACCTTTACTGTGACAGTAGGTGCAAGATTATTGACATCGTCATCAGAGCTTCCATGGCCTGGCTCATCTGAGTTTTCACCCAATTATCTTCCTGCTTGAAGAGATTTCTGACCACGGGCCAAAGCTTGCATGTATACCACACAGAGTTATTCCCTAACTGATCTCTGAGCACATGATAGTAAGAATCAAACTGAACCTCTAAGGAGAACACATGGTCTGAGTAAGAATCCCCAATCTTCGAGTACCTGTTATGGATGCATGAATATGCATGGGATGCATGAACGGATGCCATGTCATGTTTCGTCATTTCCAAGGAATTTACGTGCTTTGATTTTGATTTTACGTAAGTAAGGATGGAAAAGTTTGGCACAAGGCTTACAAATATGATTCCTTAGAAATAATAGAACATATATGTTAAGCATGTGGTTAACCATGTTATGAATGCATAGGCATGAGATCGAATGGGATCAAGGTTCCATCATCCCTGAATACGATTGCTGCACTGCTTCTGAGCCATATGAATATCATAAAATCAAAGGTCCGGCATACCTTCCGCACATATAAGAACCGAGTACCATGTAGATCTAAGTAGCATGGGATCAAGGCTTCAGGAACATCAGATATTGTTGAGCATTTCTGAACATGCTGGGAATACCAAGATTGAAGGCTTGAATGAACCTCCAAGTAAACAAGTCAGGAACTCAGAAAATAAATCTGAGAACCATACAGTCACCAATAGGATATAACATCTGAATAAGGTTATCAACAGAAATCCAGAACATAATCATTAGAACCAATAATCACCGTCTGATCATAGCCTCTATCTGAACATGAGTAACCATCTGAACATAGTCACCATCTGAGCACGAGTAACCATTTGAACATAGTCACCAACTGTACCTGTGATAAAAATCCCTTCCCGCTCACGGGTGATGATTAGGTCAGGGTAAGACAATGGTAACTCGAAAATCACGGGTTCGCTTGAAAGTGCTATGGGCTTACCCACAGACGTGGGTGCCGATAGTAATTCATTTGAACCTCCTCCGAGCATGGTATATGACATGACTGCACTAACTGGACGATGTCCTATAGCCATCATGCCCCCACTCTATTCCTAGTGTCCTAGTGCACTCTGGCCTGGGTACTAGGCCTTTTACCTCAATAGTAACAACCCCACCCAAACAAAGAAGTAGATCCAGTACAACAGCAGTATATGGAAGACATGAAAGTGCAACACATGCATATGCACAAAATATATTTAAAATGAACGAATAAACTGAAAGCATAAAAATAAACACCCAAAGAAAAGAAAACAAGAGCTAGGAGCGACTCCGGGATTGACCAGCATTTGGTCGACCTATCCCCAGTGAAGTTGCCAGCTGAAACAACCGGCTGAAAATCATCAAACAATGAAGTCGCCATCGAACGTCTTTTATCCCACATGTAAGGAAAGGTAAACATCGAGAAAACCTGAGAAGGGAGAAGTCACGGTCTTGCGACCGAGAGATCGGGTAAGGAAGTCTGTTACGCGAGGGGAAGGTATTAGCACCCCACACGCCCGTAGTACTCTACGGTATCCACTCTTGTTGTCTATCTTATGGGTGTGTTTAATTTATGCTTACTGTTTACTATACTACTGAATGGAAAATGCATGCAAACGAAAAGGGAAAAGAATGTAGGGAAAATAAAATTGTGCTCGTTCGGGCCCTATCCCGATGCCTACGTATCCCTTTTAAGGAATCAGAGCAGCCGTAGTTCGGCTTATGTTTTTGTTGGTTTGTATTTTTTAATGAACAACATTAATTTCGCCTTCTACCGCAACTCGACCTTCGGAGACTTACACGTCAGCACAGAAGTGAATTAACATGGTCTTTCTGAAAAAGGTTTGGAGAAAATGTGCCTGGGCGCACAAAAAGTTTTGAATTTGTTTGTGTTTTAAATGAACAATATTAATTTCTTCTTCTGCCGCAACTCGACCTTTGGAGATTTACGCGTCATCACAGAAGTGAATTAATATGCTCTTTTTGAAAAGAATTTTGCAAGGAAGGCCCGAAGGCAAAAAGAGTTTGTATTGGTTGGTATTTTTGCTTGTAGATAATAACTAGTTAATCTCAAGGGAGAGATTTTAGCCATGTCTCTACTTATTCCTAAAATGATTCTTTGAGACTTGAACCACGCTGAAGCCTAGAATAAGAGAATGATAAAGTCGAGAAGAAACCCGCTTATTGTCTCATATACTTAACAAAGATATGATTCTTATCAGTAGTTTTAAAGTATTTAGGATTTTAAAAAAAAAGAGTTTTAGTTTTAAATGCATCTGCAAAAAGATAAAGAAAAGTCAGAGGGGGACTAGCTTATTTCTAAACCTAATGTTATCGTGCATTAGTAGCCCTGAGACAAGGATGAATGAAAGGGAAACATCTACCTAATGTTTGCATGCTTGGATTGCAGTAAAGCCCTATTTCTCAAGATTTTTAGAAAGCGGTAAAGTGCGAGAATGAGGAATAAAATAAAGTCACGATGATACCGAACAGGGAAGGTCTGCTCCCTCTTCATAATCACGCAAGCCATAAGAAAACTCTACAACAGCTGCTCCCGCAAGCCATAAGGAAACTCTACAACAGCTGCTCCGTTCGGATGGTCAAAGAATTAGCCTCCAAGCATTCCACATTACGAAAGTTGCCTCAATACTGTCATAAAATCTTGGCAAACAGATAACAATTTGTAGCAAGCCAGCGAAAATAAAAGTAACCCGGAGAACTTCAAGCAAGTTAGCATCAACAACAAGAGAATAGTCAAAAATTGGCAATGTGAAAATAAATCACATGCGCAATGCAGACATCGAAAACATCCACATCTTAAATAATGCACCTGCATAAGAATTTAAAATCCAGACAAAAACACAAGCAATGTATATTTCTCATGTAATGAGAATCAACATAAATCGCGTCGGAAGTGAATCTCAAATCCATAAATAAAGTGAAATGAAAATGCTCTTCGGTCGAAATAAACGATCGAAAGCTCTCTTGAAATACCTTGCACAAGCTCGCAAGATAAATTAGTAATAACAATGAGATGATAATCAATATTAAGCATCTATATCACAAATTAATTTCTAAAGTTAATTAAAAATCTATCAAGTCTGTATTGATTTTACAATTTTATTATAAAACAATATAGAAAAAATTATAATAAAAAAGATCCTAAACCTAATAGAAGAAAAAGGAGTATCAGGGGAGGTGTGAGCCTGAAGCTAGAGGTCTGGTGATTAATAGGCCTTGGACGCTAGGACCAGTAGGGTCAAAGCCCAACAAATATTTTTGTTCAGATTTCCTAATTGATTAAAAAAAGGCGCTACACTATAGGCCTATGGTGTACAACCTAACAAATTGATCCAGGGAATAGTCCAACAACATCATCATTATTTTATTTCAATTGTATTATTAAAATTTTTTTTTATTTTTGTTTTACCAATAATAACAGAAAAGAAAATAAAAAGGAAAAAAGAAAAAGAAAGAGGAAATAGGGATTTAGCTTCCTCACAATTCAAAACAAACTCCTTCCTCTTTGTTCCCTTTGACGGTGCCGGATCCTCAACCTCATCCTCTTCTTCTTTATGTTACGGCCAGCAAGATCTTTGTCACTCGGCAGTTCACGGCATCACGATCGGTCATCACTGTCAATCTTCCCACCTGCTTCGGTACGATTCAGTTCTCAGATTCGCTCAATCTTTCAATCTTCTTCAACTCGGATTTCATCTCCGCGTTTAAGATTCACGCCTCTCAGCTTCGCTTTCAATGCATCTCAACTTTTGGATTTCAAAGCCGTGAATCAATCCTTCTCCACTGATTTTTGACCGTGTGTACACTTCAACTTCATCTTTTGGACTTCAAAGGTATCTTTCACCTTTCGCCTTTTCCATTTCTGAAAACCACTTCTTCTTCGATTTCTTTGGCAGCATGTTCTTCTTCGAATTCATTGCTGTGACGTGTGATTTATTGTTGGTGTCAGATTAGAGGTGCATTGATGAGGAATTGCAATAGTGAGGACTATTGAGAAGTTTGGGAAATGACGTTGTTTCGGTTGCATTTCATAGAAGAATGAAGGACGAAGATGATGATTCATAAAATTGTAGAAGAAGATAGTGATGAAGGTTGAAGATAGATTGATGATGGCGTAAGTGAAGGTTGAAGAAGAGAGGACTCAGAGGTGGAGGTTGCATAGGTTTGAAGAGAGTATGGTTCAGAGGTGGAGGTTGCAGAGGTTTGAAGAGAGTATGGTTCAGAGGTGGAGGTTGCAGAGGGAGATTGAAGGCAGGTTGAAGATTGAAGGATTTTCTGGTGAGTTCTTTGTGAATTTTTCTCTGGTTTTTAGGAATGACCCCCCCTCCTCCTCTTTTGTGATTCTGTTATATATATTTCTGTTGGGTTTTTTGTAGAGGTAGTTAGGGATTATGGAGTTAGTTAACAGTTAGTTACAGATCAATTATTGGTTCGTTGGGCGTTCTGTTTAGAGTTTGTTACAGGTTGCTACCAGTTCTATTAAAAAGAGGTTAGGAAGGATTGAACAAATCCGTTAGTTATTTTTTTTCTGCTGGAAGTTTGTTATAGAATGGTTAGGGGTTAGTTATAGGTTCTTTTATATGGATATTGATGAGAATTGGTTAAAACACTTGTAGAGTTTGTTAGCAGTTATGGAATTCTGTTAGAAATTAGTTATGACAGTTAGGAGTTTGTTAGAAGGTAGTTATGGTCTGGTTAGGTGGTTATAGGTTTGTGAATTATTTTTTGGCTTTATGATGACTTTTTATTAGAATATTTGCAGGTTCAGTGCATCTTTGGTCATTGACATGGTATTTGGCAATGTAGCATACAAAATGATCATGATGGCAAAATGAGAAGGAGGATTTGGTCCAGTGTATAAGGTATTTTGCATAATTAAACACATCCTCTCATGTGTCACCTTGTTACTATGATATTACATATATTTTTTTATAAAATTCTATATCAACTTAACAAAATAGCAGCATTCCTCAAAATGCAGGGATGTTTACCCAATGGGACATTGATAGCAGTAAAGCAACTTTCTTCTAAATCAAAGCAAGGGAATCGTGCGTTCTTAAATGAAATAGGCATGATATCTGCTTTGCGACATCCTTATCTTGTTAAACTCCATGGTTGTTGTGTGGAGGGAGATCAGTTGTTGCTGATATATGAATACTTGGAAAACAATAGTCTAGCTCGTGCTTTATTTGGTAATTTTTCCTACTTCAGGTTTCTATTTATGTGATAGTCCACAATTTCTAACGTAGCACGCGACTACGTGGTATCACTTTCTGATTTTTTTTTTATGTTTACAAATAAAGGTCCAGAGGAACACCAAATTAAAATAGATTGGCCAACAAGGCAGAAGATTTGTGTTGGTATTGCTAGAGGTTTAGCATACCTCCATGAAGAATCAAGACTGAAGGTTGTTCACAGGGACATCAAGGCCACTAATGTATTGCTTGATACAAATCTTGACCCAAAGATATCTGATTTTTGTTTGGCCAAGCTTGACGAGGAGGACAATACTCACATTAGTACAAGAATTGCTGGTACCTAGTGATGGAATTTAGTGTAGGCAGTAACTCTATTTTTTGTGTATTTTGCTCAATGATGTAATGTAAGATGGTGTAGTGAGTTGTAATATGGTATTGAATTTTTGTAATAGAACTTGCAATGTGAGGATGAGAATATATTTCCAAACAATGGTTCCATATTTTGGACAAAATAGAAGTTTGAACAGAGTCTTTGGTGTAAGCTCATTCAGTGTTATGGAAAATGATGTCAAATTGTAACGAGTGAGATTCTGTGATGGCTTGGTCCTTTTCCACAACAATGCTCCACTGGATGAAGTATAATCTTTAGGCTTGCCATTCATATCACCATCAAAATAGTAAATGCTGTCATCCTACTTGCCAAATATTGTGGCTGCTTCCTTTTTTTTTACCCACTGTATCTTTAACAAATATAATTTTCCAAGGATAGGATTATAAATTGTAGTAGTAACCTTGCTTTCACATTATTGTATTTTATTCGGATTCTTCAATATTTCTTGGATGAGTTTTGTGATACTTGGTATCTTGGAGATGAAATATGGCTTGAATCTTTCTTTCCCTCCAAAAGCTTCTTTTAACCTTTCAAATTTAGCTTCAAATTGCATCCTTTAATATAACACATCATGAGATCAAATACTCTCAGTCAATCAAAGGAACTCAAGTAAGATATTGTCAAAATCTTGGATGCAACTATGATCCAATACACCACGTTCACCTCAAAGCCTCGTGTGAGAACCAAAGAGATCACTTGTTTGGCCTAAGCAATGTGACATCTTGATCCTAAAACATCATAGCTAATTGAAAGAATTTATTTGAATCAATGATGAACAAAGATCCAACGGTAAAGTGGGCACCAATATATCCACATTTGTTTTCTGTATGAAGTTTCCGATCACCTAGCTTGTGACTTAAGTAATAAGTTTCCTCTTTCGATTTAAAAATAAAGGTCGAAAGAAAACCCTAGCTAGTCATTGACGAAGAACCTTTGACTATTAGCCCTACCAAATTCATCCGACAAACCCACGCATAGGGAAATAAACCCTAATCAAAGGATGACTTTGAGCACAAGGAGATAATGAATGCTTGATTTAGTAGCCCTTAGATGACCTCGTAGAACAACTTGGAAATAAACATGGGGATACAAAAAGAAATATGACCAAGATGGCCATGACTTGATTATGATGAAGGGAACGCCTCAACTGAAAACCAAATCAGATCTGAACACCAAGGATTAGAAACCCTAATTCACACTTGCATCGCCTACCCCCTAGAATCTTGCATCTTAAGGCAAAGTTGATAGGAAAAACACCCTTGAATCCTGATATGCAAATCCCTAATTGGTGAAATAGGGAATAGATTATTCCACCGTATCAACGCACAATCAACCTCTAGGAGCTTCAACAATGAATGTACCTTTGGATTCTGAAAGATAGTCCTAATAAGATCCCAATGGCATCCATACTCTCGACGAAACTTTTATCCATAAAATAGGAGCAGATGATTCACACAAAGGTATAGAACCAAATACTCGTCACTTAAGAGAAAGCTTCAGATGAAAATCCAGTCTTGGTAAGGAAACCCAAGAAGTGGTGACAGATGGAAGTCTTTAATTCTAAAGGAAGGAGACTTCAGATAGCCATAAGTGGCAACCTTAAACCATAATCCTTGGTGAAGAACTTGATTAGAGAACTATTGTCAAAAACCTGGCTTCGATCGCATATAGGAAAATAGACTCTGATAACTTCGTAGCTTGACGAAGACAGAAATTCTCAATGACACAGATTACAACCCTAATTCTACCACTTACTGCCTGAATAAGAAATCAGCCTTTTTTGGATGTAAATGCCTTAACCGTTGCGAAACCTTAATATCGCACAACCACTGAACTTTGAACCTCAAGCACTTTATTGAATGCAATGCATGCTAGATTAGTGACCTAATGGAATATATATAGATGAATGCAAAATTCTAAGCCAACATAAGAAATTAGGAGGGCAAATTTTGGGGTGCAATAGCGCATTTGTTTGATAACTGGAATTGTTTTTTAATTTTATTATTATTTCATATACTAACAAATGAATTCAAGTGACCCAGTGGTAGCCAGGGAAGGCGTTAAGGCTTTGCAGGCATGAGGTCAGGGGTTCGACCCCTGCCTCCAACATTTGCAATTTTTCTCAATTATTCTTTACAGATCCTGTACCCCACGCATCATGAGGCCTACCATATGCCATCAATGTTCAATCACCAGATGTCCATCAAGCCAAATCCAGCGCTTGGCATGTGATGGTCTACCATAGGCCTAGTCAAACGTGCAACATCGAATCAGAAAGGTCAACGTGGACCAAGGCTTTTGGGCTTAAAAATCAGATTGGCACCTCCCTTTCTACTTTGACACCAGGCCCAATTCTCTTTTCTTTTCTTTTATATATTTTCTTTTATTTATTTATTTATTTGTTTAAATTATTTTCTAACATAAAAATTAATTCTTTTTTTTTTACAAAAAAACTCATAAAAATCAATTTCATCAAATTTAGGTTTTATGTATTTTGTCAAAATTAATTTAATTAGTTTAATTTAATTTTAGGGCAACTTTATTCTTTTGTAAATAATTTAAAACAAATTAGAAATTAGGGTTTTGTTTAATTTAATTTTTATTCTCTTTTCTTAAAATAACCAAAATACAAAAATAGGTCAAAATTAATAATTTTCCTTAACTTGGAATTAATTAGTAATTAGGTTTGTATTTATTCATTAAAACCATATTTTCCTCAAAATAATCAAAATAACAAAAAACAAATTTTCTTTTAATTAGGTTTAGATGGGGTCAAAACTCTAGTTCTTTTCTCGTTCTCGTTTCATCGCGCACGTTTATCCTTTTTACAATATTAATGTAATTGCTCATGGGATGTAATAGTTTAATTAGGATTTTTCCTTTATTTATCGTTTTACGGGTTTTTGGTTATGTAATTAATCCCCCTCCCCGAAGCCTTGTAATAGTGTAGTTTTATTTCTCGCATTTTAATTTTCGCAAAGATTAACTGCTAGATGTATGATAATAGGATTGCATGACAAGAATGTATGTTAATTTTAAAATGGTTAGCAAACCCTAAATGTGCAAAGATAATAACTGAAATCAAATCACTCGCACATGCGCATTCTTAGGGTATACTCTCACTTCGGTTGCCTTCGGTAAACAATCATTAAGTATAGGGTGTTTTAGTGGTCGCTCTCTTGTCTAAACAAAGATCAAATGTCCC